GTATCAATTCAGGATGTGGCATCATGGGGTGTTATTCGAACATTGATGTTTCGGTCATGCACTATTTCTCCCCTGACCGGTAGTAGAGGATTATACGGCTTTGTGATGCCAAACGTGACACAAGCATAGCTGATTGCCCTGAGAGGGAGAAAAGAGATTCCGGTGGTAAGAGGTAGAGTAGGGTAGGATAGAATGCCCCATCTGGCTTAGCAGTGGATGTGGTATGGTACTTGTATATGTGTGGTTCAGATCTGTGTGGTATCTGACTGCGTTTGGCCAGCGCAATAATTTCTACTAGCTTCCCTGGTGCCGTTACTTGGACGTACATTTACGAAATATGCTGCAGAACTTTTCACAAGATGCCTACCTCTAGACTGCTGTCCATCGCATCCGTGTCGTCACTTGACCTGGTCTGAAGATATCAAATAATATACACCCCCTTAGGGTTCATGGATACACCTGCTACTCTCCCGGAATGACGTCTTGTGATCTCGGGTTGAATGTGCGGTCTTCCACTCATGAATATCCGAGTCCCTGGATAATTTCGTAGGATTTGATTGATCAAATGAAGAAGTTTGGCTCAATGTCCTACAACACGTTTGCCATGCGCATCAATGTAGACCAATGTTCCCTTTTTAGAAGCAGCTGTGTACAACATCTTGACCATATCGGAAGGCCCCAGTTCATGGGTATTAGTAGTACTTTTTTGGTCTTGATACGCTCATGATAGTTCCTTTAGGATCTCCAGCATGCCTACCAGCTGCTTCAACAGGGTGCGCAGAATGCGCGTGCAGGATTGTTCCTTTCAGCTGGTGGAGTCAAAACAAAATATGCAATGGTGGCATTTTGTCCTCTGGCCGGCTCATACCAATTGTCTATTCCTAATGAACTAATATCAAGGCTGGTCAACCCTCATGTTTTTTCCCCAATGCCCGGAGGCCCTTCCTAGCTACTGTACCTAATATAACTTTTGCCCACATCCGGATCTCCATAACCAAAGAAAACAGTATTACTGGCTTCGCTCCCTCACTACTGGTGTACCAGCTTCCAAATTTCTTGGTCTGTGAGAGTCATTCCCCTACATTTTCTACTGGTGTTTTCAGATATCTTGAGATGTAACTTAGGACCAGTGAAGGTAGCCAGGTTAGGAAATCAGGTCGATTACCATTCAAGTATCTCGAGCGCTGCACTCATACCTCTATTGTGATCTCAAGCATCTCCATGGGCTCTTTCATTTGGAGAGCCCTGTTCCCTGTTACGCTATCTTGTCTCTGATCTAGAGGACCTGGGGCCTGTGGCTGTTACCAGTAGTGGATATAACAAGCACCACGGCAGAGCCGGCCCCCTTAGTAACGTCCGATCACATCACTTGAAGCCTTGTGAGTGCAGCAGTTCAATGTAGGGATGGAGGTGGGTGTGGAGAGATATGATCCGTCTTTTCTAGCTACGAAGGGGCTATGTAAGAGCGGAAATACATGACTCCCAAGGTCCACTTGGCCCTGATCCAATACCCTAATGATCATGGGGATAACCTCCAGTAACCTGCTGCATATCGCGTAACTTGAAGTATCACAGCATATTTTCTTCACTCTGTCGATGTATGGAAAACCCTACCGCACAGTACAGCGTGGTGGAATATGGTATTTAAGTTGGTGCCCGTACTCGCTGGAATTTCAGATCCGTAACGTGCCCTGCTATTGGATGGGGCTAAAAATTGGCTAGGCTCTCAATTCCCCCACCACCCAACAGTAGTATATGGTACTAGCTTTTCACGAATACCAAGAACTACTAGCAGCCGTACAGTACGAGTAGTGTACTGTACTCGCCAAAATCAGGAGTCTGTCCTGGACATTTTTCTAGGCGCAACCGACCGAACCACACCGTGCTTGTAAAAATTGGGACTCACCTCTCATAACCTCTGGACATCACTAGCGACCCTGTCCTCAAGTGATATTTTGTTCATGGGCAATGCTATTAGCACAATTCTCCTGTTGTTGGGGCTGCCAGAGCGGAGCAATTGCCGTGTTGCTACGGGCGGCAATACCTGCGGGAAAGACTTTTGATTTTGGCGAGTAGGTGTCACCGTTACGAGTACAGTACAGTACTTGCTAACGGACCGGGTCAAAACTTTTGGTATGATACCATGAAATCAGCACCATATACTGTTTTCACATCCCCACCCCGTGAACACCGACGCCTTTCCGGGTCTGCAGAAATTTCACAGCACATCACCAAGCCCCTAGGAAACACAATAAAACTTTACAGGAGTCTCAAGAATGATAGTCCTATAGAGGAAGTATCTGTTCGGCATGAGGTACACGATTTTCTGGTGCCTTTTTGTAATGGTTCCAATACGGTATATTTCAAGTCACATTCACAACCATTGATACGATTGTAAATGATAAGCCCAATTCCGCCTCTTTCTCCTACGCTTTTGGTCTGCCGAAGTCAAAGTCGTTTTCAAGTTGATGACAAAAATTCCCATTGTCTTCATCGGGGGAGCGTTGGGGACTACCGGCTCAAAAATATCTATTTCCCACATGATTTATTAGATCCTAAAAGCTTGTGACGCGCCAACTGTTTTGGTTTAGTGCTGTTACACCATCAAAATCATATACCTCACCTTCATAGTAGTTGGGCTCCTGAATTTGGAAACCAGAGAAAAAAGAGGGTTCGAATGTTAACCCGGGCGGTAATCTAAAGAGCCACTAGATATGATAAACAGCTCTATATGGGAGCCTAGGATAGTTCGGGTACCAGGCCCGCATCCCTCGCATAGGGCTAATGGGGCGGTAAACCTGGTTGGACTCTATGGTATGCTACAATGACCTACAGCATTTACAAGAAAGGGTAAACGCCTTGTAAGTCTTGTCGAGGGTAACACCGGTGAGAGTGGCTTCTTGCTAGAAGGCGGCGTAAGGTTGGGGCAGCGGTTGAGGGTAAGTCATGGCGTTCGTGAGAGGCTTGGAGGGGAAAATGTGGGAAGCTAGAAGGGAGGGACCAGAGGGTAATTGCGGGGAGATGGGAGTAAAAACCGATGGCTAGGTTGATTGATAACATGGTTTATCATTTGAATAGAATAAGGTACATTGAACACCCTCCACACCTCTACTCACACGGCCTTGGGGGGGACAAATTTTGGTTCGGCAGCAGAGCAGCGCAGATGGCGGAATGCGGCTACTCCCTAATAACTAAAGTACGGGTACAAAAAGAAACGTCCGGCAACGCAACGGCAACCCCACTACCACTATAAATTTACTACCCCTACAACCACAACTACTTGAAATAAACTGAAAATATGTGTAGACATACAATAAATATAAGAAAAGCTATATGTAAAATTAGAAAACAAAAAAATCAATACTTGGTATACCATCCCCTTGCATCTATGACAGCAGCAACTCTACTAGGCATAGACTCCCACAACCTTTCCAGAAAATCCCCTTCAATATCCTGAGTCCAAACCTGATTTAGAGCTACTGCTAGATGTTTTCTAACAGTTTCTGGGCCCCCCTTGGTCTTGTGGATGTTGGGAAAGCGCTGGTGTAGCTTTTCCTTCATCCTCTTCCAACAGTGCTCAATAGGATTGAGGTCAGGAGAATTGGCTGGCCATTCCATAACCTGTATGTTGTTTTCCTCAAACCAAGCCATGGTATCTCTTGCAGTATGTATCCTTGCACCATCTTGCTGAAAGATAGGATCCCCAACTGTATCCTCCACCTCCTGCCAGACATCAACTAAACCATCCTCCAAAACTCCAATATATACAAATCTATCCACACTCTTATCAAAAATAGGAATCAGAGGACCCTTATTTCTGCCCCAAATACAAGTCCACACCATCAGCTTTACCCCTGGCCCCTTGGTAACTCCATGAATACAGTCTTTGTGCCACTTTTCTTCAGGTGTTCTGAACACCCATATACCCTTAGGATTCTTAGACTTTTCAACCAAGGATTCATCACTAAAGATGACTCCTTCAAAGTCTTCCTTTGTCCAATCCTTATACTTAATTGCCCAAGCTAACCTCTTAACAGCATGCTCATCCTTTAGAAGAGCTCTTTTCCTAGCTCTCCATTTCTTTATGTTGACTGAGGCTAAAGCTCTCTTGACTGTTTGGAGGGAGGAATGTGGTGCAACATCATTGCGCAATTCTGATAAAGTCTGGTGGCATGCCTTCTTAGACTCTCAGACTAGGCGGCGTTGGGTTCTGGAATTGATAATTTTGGGTCTTCCAGGTATAAGGAGGTTTTTTGCATCACCCCTCTTTTGGAAGCAGTCATGGAAAGTTTGAACAGTAATCTTTGGACGGTTTAAGAGCTCTCCAATGTCTCCAAGAGAGAATTTTTTTTTTCTCAGAGCAACTATTTGCCCTTTCTCAAACTCTGTAAGGTAGCCTGTCTTGGGTGGAGGCATCGTGGTTGAGGGGTGGTTGATTGTAGGAGTGGGGTGTTTTGAGGTGTCTCCTGGTAACCACCGATCATACGGATCCTTTTGGCCTAGTACTTTAGAATTACACTACCCTGATTAGCGGACTGGGGACGCCGGGTGGTTGGCCCGGCTATGAGTAGCTTCGTGGGTGTCCAACTTCAACTCAGGCACTAGAGTACTGGTATGGAAATTTACAGCAGCATTACTTTCCTCTTGAGTGTGAGATGGAAAATGGTCTGTAGCATTTTCCCTGGCCAAGTGGGGGCTGCAGCAGGCACAATACCCGATTAGGTGTAAAGTGCTTACACCAGAACCCAGGCAGGGAAAGAAATTCGATCGTTGCTGAAAAAGTGAGCATGGGAGTTGGCCTACTCGAATACCGTAATGGTTGCCTTGCAGTTGCGCAAATAGATACGACTAATTACTAGGCATGCAGTTGCCTTTCTTGTGTGTAAGCGCCGGGAGGTGACAGCCCCGCTCTTGGTCAACTTAAGGGAAACATTCTGCTAGATACCGCCCATACCCTCCAGTTTCTGTATTCCACCACATCTTTAAATCCCTTGCCAAAAGGAATAACTCTAAAGCGAGAGAAGCATCAGCAACCGCCTACCTTAGGATCAAACGCCGGCTTGTATTTATTCATCGTTTCGAAAAGATAGCGAGCTATAATAGCTTCATCTTTGCACCTCGGCTCTCAGATCCGCGGCGGCCGTGGCCACGAAAATGGCAGAGCCGATCTCCTTGGCCGCCAGTGTCTTGGCCCTCATTCACCTTGGCGCGAAGGTTTACCAGCTTTGCGATGACTACTGTAATGTGGTCAAGGAGAGCGAGCAAGATTTCAAGAAACTGGGGGATGAGATTAGGGCTTTCGACCAGCAGCTGAAAGAAATTCAAAGCCTTGCGGAACAAGGCGATGACAGCAATCCGCAATACCCTGAACTACTTGAATGGACAAGAGGCAAAAGTTTGAAAGATTATACCGCAGGTCTGGAAGAGCTTGAGGCCAAATTAAATGTTCCGGGATGGAGGAAATCGTCGCGGAAGCTGCTTTGGCCTTTTCGCAAACCGAAAATGGAGCGTTACCTGGGCTTGGTGGAAGAGCAGAGATCGAAACTGCATCTTTTGCTAACCACAGCGACAACGTAGGTTATCTATTCTTCAATCCTTAAGAATCTTCTCCGCCTCCCTTTCGTTTTCGTGGCGGGACTAACCAGTTGTTTAGGAAAACGGTAACTAAGGTGTTGCGAAAACTAGACGGTACTTGGTCGCCTTATCCCTAACCCTGACAATTTTTCTCTTTACTAATACCAGATATTCCTAACCCCTAGAGAAGGAACTCCGAGAAGTGCAGAGGTGGCTCAACGTCGTTGATCCAGGTTCTAATTATTCAGCGGCATTGGCTGTTCGTGAACTCGGCACTGGAGGTTGGCTGATCGGGGGACAAGAGTACATGGATTGGAAGGAAGGAAGAGGGGGGGTTCTGTGGCTCCATGATATACGTATGTCAGGAGATGAGTGAAACCTTATGCTCCGAAGAGTGTCACTAACATTTGTGTCCTCTAGCCGGATGTGGCAAGAGTGTACTGAGGTGCGAACCTAACCGGGTATCTAGAGGTGCAATATGACTTCTTAACTTACTCTTTAGCGCTACCGCTATTGAAGATGTCCAACATCTTTGCAACGCGAACGATGATTATGCATTAGCTTATTTCTACTTCACCTTCAGCGACTCCGAGAAGCAGGAATTGCACAATATGCTCCTATCCCTTATTGGCCAACTTCCGAAAAAGCCTTCGGATCGGGGTTTTCCGGGTGCGGTTGTAGATCTCTACAATAGCACCAAGGCAACTGGAAAGTCGGCGAATACCGCAGCTCTGAAGGATCTGTTGTCGCATATTATAAAGTGTTTCAGCAGGACGTTTATCGTTCTCGATGCCTTGGATGAATTTCCCAAAGACACACGAGAGAGTCTCCTAAGTTGGATCGGTGAGCTTACGGCTGATCATAAGGTTGGCTCGCTCTCGGTTCTCGTCACGAGTCGTCCCGAGGCCGATATAGTGCGATCACTAGGACCACTAGCCGCTTTTCCAATACCGCTACAATCCAAAACTGTCGATCAGGATATTCGGACATATGTCCAGAAATCTCTAGGCGGCAAGGATGGCTTCAAGAAGTTTACGAAAGAAATAAAGAATGAGATAGAGGACACACTAGTTTCTCGTTCGCAGGGAATGTATGTTATGCTCCAATATTCAGATTTTGATTTACGCTGATACAAGGGTGGGGGTGTTCAGGTTCCGATGGGTGGATTGTCTTCTCCGAATTCTACAGGAATGCATAACACCAAACGATGTGAGAGCTGCCTTGGGAGAACTTCCGAAAGACTTAGATTCTGTCTACTTGAGGATCCTTGAAAGCACCCATGAGAAGCAGGGGGAATATCTTCGGCGAGCTATGCATTGGCTCGCATTCTCGGCAGTACCCTTGACGTTAGGCCAGCTTGCGGAGGCCGTCGTGATCGAATACGATGTGGACAAATATGGCGAGGATCCTGGGACTAGGGCTCTTTTTGATAAGAGTTGCTTCATGAGCATTTGCCCTAGCATTATTTCCTTCGAGGATGCCAGGCACGATGAATCCCCCAGGAAAACCGCCGATTACGGCTGGCACATTTCTCGGTAAAGGAATATTTGATCTCCGACCGGGCAGCTCAGGGTCCCAGTGCCAGCTATCATATTTCGGAGAATAAAGCCAATTTGCTGATGGCGCATTCTTGCCTTAGTCGAATACTGCGACATAGTGCACAAGGGACTATACACGGGGGCACGGTTGCGGAAACATCATTTCTCTACCATAGTGCTCGCTATTGGTTTGTGTATACCAGATGTATTGAGGATACAACACCCACACCACTCTCCGAAGCGGCGGTGAAGGTTCTTGAGCTTGGCAAGGGCTGGTTAGATGTATATAACCCCGACGTCTCTCACCCCCGCTCCCGGATTTACCCACCAGAAATCTACTATTCCTCCTTGCTAAATTTAGTGACGGCCTCTAAATTCCTAGTCAATGGAAAATTAGATACAGTAAACGTCAATGCTCAGGGTGGCTGGTATGGCAGTGCACTCCAGGCAGCTGCAAAAAATGGAAACGAATCGGTTGTGCGGCTTCTCCTCGAGCGTGGGGCAGAGGTGAATGTGCAGGGTGGCTATTATCGCAATGCACTCCAAGCAGCTGCATTTCATGGAAGCGAATCGGTTGTGCGGCTTCTCCTCGAGCGTGGGGCAGAGGTGAATGCGCAGGGTGGCCATTACGGCAATGCACTCCAAGCAGCTGCAAGAAA